ATCATCAAACAGTGAAGCTGCCACAAATAAATCGTCAACCAGTGTGGCCACCACAAATATATCATCAACGATGGTGACCGCCACAAATAAATCATTAACCAGTGTGGCCACCATAAATATATCATCAACAAAGGCGACCGCCACAAATAAATCATCAACCAGTGCAACCAATGTGAAAGAACCACCAATCACTACTGATGACTCTTTTAAAGTATGGAAAGAAAGAGAAGAGAAATTTTTGATTGATACCAGACATCAAATGGATGATTTGTTTAAAAGAAACCGAAATCACGGGGAGTTATGGAATGAAATATATGGAGATAACGAACAGTATTCAAGCTCAGAAGTCCATTATACAATACAAAATAGGAGCAGAGCAAACACCGACCTTCAAACATCAGAGGTGGGATCAGGTGCCATGGAGGAGTGAGCATCCCCTGCCGACCGGTCACACCCGCCGTGTGCTCCTTGTCATGATCGGGAAATAACGGAAAAATCCGTCGACAATTCAGTGTGTAAATAATGGCCTAACAATTAGTATGAAAAACGTCAGTCAGCATTTGACTCAATGATAAATTGTATTTGCTGACAAGGTCATTGTATCGACCAAAGACCTTACGAAATGATGACTTTAAACGAGACAGCTGATATTCTTGTTTCATCAACTTATTTTTCAATAATTTACCTCGTTTTAGAAATTGTACATACGTAGAGCATGCTCTTGCGTATCGAATCAACTGAGAGATATATACCCCGTGTGCAGGTGATGAAGGTATATTGCTGCATAAGTAAGGGAAGTTGACGATTGAAAAGTTAAAGTCATCACGTTTATCATAAAGCTTGGTTGTTAGATTACCATTAACGTCTTTTTCAAGTAAAATATCCAAATATGAAACAGATGTGTCAGACTCTGTAGTATCTTTTATCTCAAGTTCACCAGGATATATCGTATCGACATAAGAATGAAAATAGCCATTGTTGATTGACAATACGTCGTCGATATATCTAAATGTCGAGTTGAACGCCACAGCAAGTGTTTTCTTCTTTTCACGTACAAGATTTTGGACAAATTCTGCTTCATATGAATACAAAAAAAGGTCTGCTAATAACGGGGCGCAATTGGTACCCATAGGAATTCCAATAGATTGTTGGAAGACCTGGTCTCCAAAAACCACATAGATATTGTCAATCAGAAACTCAAGCATCTTTTTAATGTCAACTTCAGAGTACTTGTGTGTGCAATCAGAATGTTTTTTAACAAAATAATTTTGCAAATGACCAATGACAAGGTAAGTATATTTACGAGTTCCATTTTTATTGAAAAATCAGCTGTCAATGATATCAAAAAGCCTGGACTTTAATTTATCGTGGGGAATAGTTGTGTATAAAGTTGAAAAGTCGTAAGTTTTTAAGCTGTTGATTTTGGTAAAATCTTGTGATTTCAAATTTTCCAAAAGTTCCTTGGAATTTTTAAGTATCCACATCTGATTTACACCACCTCTCGAATATATTGTTGCACAGTACTCTTGAAGTTTCTCCTTCACCACTGTTAATATCTTAGTGAGGAGTAAAGACAGAGGCTTGGTTGAACATTTACTGGAACCCGCTATGTATCTTTGTTTGTAAGGATTTTTATGAAGTTTCGGAATCCAATATAAATATGGTAATTCGAATTCATCTTGGTTGTTTGGAATATTAAAAATATTCAAAACTGACATAAGATTTTGAAGAATTTCTTCCTTAGAAAGGGAACTATGAGTATAAGTTGGATTACCACTTGTAGAATTAAATCCAAGTTCCTCTAAAATACATTTAATATAATGAGCCCTACAAACAAAGACAATGTTGTTACCTGCTTTGTCAGCAGGGACCAGTACGTACTGATCATGTAATCTATCTAATTCTTTTTTCACTTCTGGATTATTGAATACAGAAGGATAGATGGTTTTCATATTGCCTCTCAATTTTTTAATGCGCGATTTTAACATACATCTGATACATTTAATCCATTCTGACAAAGTGTCAAGGTCTTCTTTTTCATGTCTGGCCCATCGCCTGGCGTAGTCCTCTACAGAATCCATGATATTTATGAAATTCTTACGCCAGTTGAAGGATCTGGGTTCCCTAAATTTAGGACCTTTTAAAATTAGTGATCTAAGGTCCTCATTATTAACTATATTTACGTCACCAGTAATAACGTGTCCAGCAGGACTATAGTTATAGGGCGAAGAAGAACATGAACACGATGGAGGATTATGTTTCAGATATTCGATATCCAGGCCCTGTAAAGTTTTCTTGTAATTAAAAAGTTTGGAAGCAATAGTCGATGTATATTTGTAGGAAATACAAGGTGTAGTCTTTAACTTGAAATATGGTGGAATACAAGACTGGACCCTTTTGTGATTAAGAATATTACTTATATTAACCGCGTCAATTCCTTTGTTGGCATATTGAAGTTTAAGGAAAAACACGGATTGTTTTAGCTGCATTTTCTTCAGTAAAACGCGGGGGTTTAAAAAGCCTATGATTGGCAATATCCATAACTACAGATCCGAGCCTATATTCTGGTGTCGAGGAATCAAAAAATGGACTTTCCTTGACCTTTTCAAGAAGACTATTTAAAAGTTTCAAAGGGACAGAGTAAAGTTTGGTGCGAATATGATGTAGACCTAACTGTTGATTTACGTAAGGTAGTAATGAATCAAAAGAGACATCGTGTATTAAAGGTTTATTGTAAGACCGATGCCCATGACTACACTTACGTCTCTGTGTATGGTTAAAAAGCAATCTCTGAAAAACTGTTTGATATGCTGAACTGCAGAGTAACTCAGAATCAGTGCATGTACAAATACAATGCCCTAAAAAAAATGGAAAGAAGTAATAGATGCTCCAACTGGCACGGAAGCCAAACATTTCAGCCACAAAGAAGAATTCGACCAATTCTTGGGCACAGAAGCAAGCACAAAACCCAAACATACTACATGTATTGATTCGGATAAAAAAAATAGATGAAGTTCAACATGATGATGTAGATGAGGAAATGATAAGCATGAAGAAAAAGAAGAAAAAAATGAAGACATGTAAACAGGATGTTCGTGAGCTTCTGGAAGAACAACATTCTCAATTCCTAAGCCAGATGGAAAAAATGCATAACGACAAAATGCAGAAATTTGATAAATTTCTTGAAATAATGTCTAAAAAGTGATCAAGAACAGTTAGATCCCAGTTGCTGATAGTCAGACTTTTTTTGATTTTTAATTTTTTTCTATAGTGCTGCACCGAAGAGCAGTACTAAATAACCTGTTTAATATTGGCAAAAAGGATGAGTTCAGTTAATCTTTTTAAGCTTGTGGGCAAGAAATGCTGAAAAACATTCCTTTTGTTTATGCAGGCAAGCTTTATTTTTTTTTTTTAAGTATTTGGGTTCTGACATTTGAAAGGGGGTCAAAGTTAGGTACAGCATCAAATAAAAAAAAAACTTTCAGATATCATAAATACAATAAGAATAAAGTTGTTAAACTTTTCATGCAAGAGCTATTTGTAAATCTGTCGTCTTATATTGTGACCCGCACATGTATCATAGCAACATGGTGTAAGTGAGCAATGAAACCCATGTGCCCTTTTTTGTTTTTGTTGTTAAAATTTTTTTGTTATAAAGTTTGTATAATATTTTTTTTTACGGTTGTTTTTGTTATCTCCAATGCAAATACTTCCATTGTGATACCGTTATGTCACATTATCAAGTACATGTACATAAATGTGCATGCGTCATATGTCAAGTCAGTTCCAGTATTATTGTTATATTGGGGAATCTTGTTTTTATTTTTTAAATTGCTCAGGGAGAGTTTCATGAATAAAATGAAAATTACTTCAACGATTTGTTTTCCTTTTCAACCTAACTTTCAAAAGCTTGAATAGAATGATAAGGAAGATGACTGCTAACCTGTCTATAGTCCAAAGAAATGTTTTCAGAAATATATCTGTGTAGTTATTAGGATAAAAAAAAAGCTTATTTACAGATGCAGAATATTGTACAAGGATTTTTAAGAGGAATATTTAGAAATATATATCGTAATTGTGTTGTTCGTTCTTACCAACATTCTTGGTTATTAAAGCTTTGATTATCATATAAGGTCATCATAAATAATATATTTTATCTGATGATGTACTCGGCATACAATTCTCGAATATGTAGTTGAAGACCAGTGTAATTAAACTTTCAATGAAAGCATGGTAAAATTACTTTTTCAATTCCTAAAGATTACTGTCGCTGCGCAATTAAGGATGGATGTTTTTTGCGAGTAAGTCGAAGTACAGCACATAACATAGAGCAAAACGGTTATATTATGGGACTAAATTATACACTTAAACAGGGTTTACACATTTTAAAACATTCTACACTTTGCAGATTTCATAGTTTATTGGCTTATTTACAAAAGAACTCAAGAAAACCAAAAAGTTAAAGTAGACTTTAAAATCTTGCAAAATGAATGATTCTAATAAAAATTGATTGCATAAAATAATCTAAATTCTTTTTTTAAAGGATTGCACCATTTTCAAATAAATGTAAATTAGAAATTTATTAGCAGTATTACATGTTGTTCTTAGTCTTAAGTTATTTTGTAAAACTTGGCCTAACACACCATATTTAGGGAAGAATTAAGAAAAAATCCTTAATCTTGTTCTTTGACACAAGTAAGAAGCATCCGCCTTTGTGTCATATTGAAAATTTTAACCAATATGCTTATTGCTTATATGTATGAACTTATTAATAATCATTTTGAACTCTTTCTGCTCTTCAGTACACTGTCATAATATTTATTAAATGCATTCATATTATTACAAATTTTAGGATCAATATCAGCAAGTCAAATTGATGAAAACAGGGTGAAGAATAGTTGATTACACCGGGATCCTTCATTATAACAAGATAGGCAACTTGCAAAAGTATACACATCCCTGATTACACATCCATTTTATAAAGTGTTCCGTTTTCACGGTCACACATATTTTAAATTTGTTGAAGAAGTCTTAGTCTCCTCGCCACACCATGAACTCCATGTTGGTAGATGTTCTCACATTCATTCTCTGCATCTTCTAGGATTGCATTATTGTCCATGAACTCTTCAATGTCATCAGTGTGGATCACACACAAATTGTGCAAAATACACCCAGCCATAATTAATTTTGCTATATGCCTTGGGTTGTGAAATGTCACCTCCTTCAAACGACGAAACCTTCCATTAAGGTGGGCAAAGCACCTTTCTACTGATTGTCTTGCACTAGACAGTTTGGTGTTGTATCTCTGCTGTTGTGGTGTAAGGTGTCCATAATTTTTGAATGGTGAAATTAGCCAATTGCGCAAAGGATAGGCATTGTCAGCCAAAATGTGATGACTGTTAATTATGGCTTGGCCCTCTTCCGCTTTCTGATACAGTGTTAAATTACGCAGAACCCTTGCATCATGGGTGCATCCAGGCCACCCTGTGTATGCACTTATGATTAGCATGTTGCTGTCGGTCACAACCTGCAAAATTGAGGATATATTATTTTAAAAAGGCATAAAGATACGTGACAAGTTCTAGTAAACATGGTAACATATTCTTCTCAGAGAAGTTTTTAAATTAAAACTGGAAGTGACCTAATGATTTTAAAATGTTTAATTTTCATTTTCAACACATCTTGAAATTAAAAGGTAAAATGGAATACATGGATCCTCTTTACACTACTTTTATACAATAATTTTGGAAGTACCTGTAACTGCATTGATGGAAAACCTCTTCTGTTATAATAGTCTCTGTCACCGTCAGGTGCACTTGCAAGTCTGATATGAGTGCCATCCATGAACCCTATCACATCTGAAATGCCGTATTTGTCTTCTACCTCTCTTGCAGTTTGCTGCCGTTTCTGAGCAGATGGCCACTGAATGATCTACCGTAAATGAAATGTGAAAGATTAAAGTTTGACCAACGTAATAGTAGGCCATAGATTTCTGATTACATTTTTTCTTAAATATTTAAAGATTTCTTGTTTTAATGATGCATTTGCACATGCAGCATTGTATATATATATATATATATATATATATATATATATATATATATATATATATATATATATATATATATATATATGTAATGGATATATGCCGAATACTGTTCTATATGTAAAATTATCAGACTGTTTGAGGCCCGTTAGGGCCGAAAACAGTCTGATAATTTTACATATAGAATTGTATGAGGCATATACCTTACTTAAAACATTGCTATTTAAATGTCCAAAAGTTACCTAGAGGAGTCCGATAATTACACAATAGGAGTTCAGGCATCAATAGTTTTCTACCTGAAACCATCTAATAAGTAGACAAAAGAAAAGAGAAAGTTTTTTTTTCTTTAGACAGTAAAATCAGTAAGTGAACTCTTTTGTTTCATTCATTCAATGGCAGTCGTTTGGCTTAGCAGGAACTAATGACAGTGGTCAGGTGATGAAGGATTTTTTTTTTTATGATTCGGAATATTTTTTTTTATTTAGTGCGTTTGACATTGATCCAGATACAGTGTTGGATGATATCTTCACATGCATTTAAAGTAAAAATGCGGATTTTTATCTAAAATTTTGATTGGATGATATAATGAAAATCTTGGGTTTTAAAAGTGCGGTCATTGGCGAACAAACTTCGTGAAATGAAGAGATTCGCAGACTGGTTCTTTATCAGATATGGATTTGAATTGGCTTATTCACAGTGCGGTATTGAAAATGCTTTGCAAAAAAAACGAATGGAAAGTGTTACTTTTGAGGAAGGTTAAAACTCTAGTTTCTTCTTGGATTTGCAACTTTTAACAACTTAATTTCCTCGCGTTCGCTTTCCCTGAATTTTTTTCCCTAACCTTTTTTTTGGTTTCTGGACAAATTAAACCTTGATTTTACTCTAGTTGTTGTTTTTTAACTACTGTCCGATTTTGTTATCACTGCCGTCCGATAATATATTATTGGACTGCTAAATGTTATTATCGGACAGCTACAGGTAAATTTTTAGACTGCAAGAACAAAGGCATGACGTCACAGCAATGTTTTAAATATATATATATATATATATATATATATATATATATATATATATATATATATATATATAAACAAACGTATGTATTGATATGTCTTGACTATATGTTTTAACAAACAATTTTCAGAAATATTTGCTATTTTATGACCCAGTTCATAATTAAAAAATCCAAAAACATGAGTGTAATACTCTCGTTTGCAGATCCAAAACTACGTCCATGACACGGTTTATAATTTCATGGACGGTGGATTTAGAAAGTCCAAAAAAATGTCCACACTCTCTAATAGACTGTTGATTTCCTATGAAGTTAAGAAAAACAAGCAGCTGTTTCTCGGTCTCACTGGACAGGTGCTGACCCCCCTCGGTTATGGCGCTCTACACTTCTATGAAGTTCTCGCAACATGAAATCAAACATTTCTAAATCGATTCTGTAATGAATCTTGAAATCGCCAACATTTCTATACAGTTTTATCTCACTTAAAACCTCTTCATACGTGCGAACTTTGGGGGGTTGACCTTCTCTTGATGTTGTCCAAATATTAACAATTACAAGATAATTTTTTCTGTTAAATCGCCATTAACTCCTCTTCATCTGTAATCATTTCTATGAAAAACAGCAAGTCAGCCATATTTCCTCTATCTAACGAGACTATTCTGTGTTCGACTTCTTCGATAGTTTGCGCATGCGATCTAGCACTTCCTATACCAACTAGAGTTTTCACTCGAAGTCAACCTATATTGTTTAACGTCCCTCTCGAGAATTTTTTAACTCATGTGGAGATGCCACCACTTGCCGGTGGAGAGCTGCAAATTTTGTCCTATACTCGGCACTTACGGCCATTGAGCAGTGAGGGATCTTTTTCGTGCCAGCATCTACTGCGACACGGGACCTCGGTTTATACTGTCTCATCCGAAGGACCGGTCTTTACGTCCCACAGTGGGATTCGAACCTGCACGTAAGGATCAACTCCTTACTTCGTGACTCTAGAGCAGACGCTCTAACCACTGCGCCACGCGGGCGACGTAGAACAAATATAAAAACACTCAAAATAGATGTAGGTTATAGGAAAATATTCTTCAACTGGTTTCTGGTAAAGGTGCAAGCGTATGCACCTCGTATTCAATAAATTGGGGGAAGGTGCATTTATCCGAGAAGGTGCGGATGTACCGTGACTAATGTAAACAATAACAAAGAAGGAGCGGATCGACCTCCTACAATACAAGCTTTATAATTTAATAAATAATCACCTTCTGCAGCACCTTCGCTGGGTCGTGCAGTAATTGCTGTTGTGACATACTGCTGGATTTAGAACAAGAAAACTGTCAGACTTTACCTTTGCAACGCCTCTCTGTTTATAAACACTACGCTGGCCAATCGGAGGTCGTCTTACTAAAGAGGTAGCATGCGGTAGACTCAACCCGAAGTATGGAGGAAAAAGGACACACGCATATATGTAGTTCCTTTCACAAATTAAAAGGCAAAATAACACCGAAAATCCAATTAGAAGCGAAGGTAAACATATCTGTCCCCCGCTTTCACTGAAAGTGGGGGATATTAATTTGGGTCTGTCTGTCCGTCCGTCTGTAACACTTTTCTTTTCCGCAAGATATCTCGAGAACCCTTTGAGCTTTTGCAATGAAATTTTGCATAGCAACTCCCTATGGCCTAAAGAAGAACCCTATTTATTTTAGGTCAAAAGGTCGAGGTCATAAATTCTGTCTGTTTTAACACTGTTGTTTCTGTGCGATATCTCGCGAATTCTTTGAGCTTTTGCAATGAAAATTTACATAACTCCCTGTGGCCTAAGGAAGACCCCTATTGATTTTGAGGTCAAAAGGTCAAAGTTCAAGGTCGTAAATAAATTCCGTCTGTGTGTAACACTTTCGTTTCCGGGCGATATCTCAAGAAGCTTTTGAGCTTTTGCAACGAAATTTTATACCATAACTCCCTATGGCCTCTCTTGCCCCTTTCAAAGTTTTATTTATTGTATTTAAAAGTCGCTTGTCACTATTTTAGCACAGGGGCATGACGAGTGGTATTACGTATAATACAGGCGGACTTTATATTCTAATTACATCTATTAGAACTGTTTAGTAAAGGCTAAATTAGACAACATTTATTGTGTAAAATTTTGACAATATCAAACGTGAATATAAACATTATATGTGACTTAATGTTTGCATTTAATTTGCTGTAAAATCAAGTGCCTCCGTGGTCTAGTGGTATCTTGCTCGCTTAGCAAGCGAGAGGCCCGGGTTTAATCCCCGAGCGATTCTCTTTTTTTAAGGTGTTTTTTTGTTTGATTTACTAAATGATACTATTCAACATGTGAAATGAAAAAGTTAAGATGTCTGGCGTGTACAAACTCATAAAATCACTATTACAGTGTGATAATTATTCTGTGTATAGTATATTAAAAAAGTCTTCTATACACATATTAAAGAATAAGCAATCAAATCTTTATATTCATATTGTTTTTTTTAAGTTTGCTACAATATACATGTATACATTTAATAATTAAACAAATACAGGGGGGGGGGGGGGGCAGTGTGACCCCCCCCCCCCCGAACTGCGCATCTTTTTTCCCTAAGCGGGGGGACACAAATTCTCTGAATTAGCTTGTTATATGCTGTCATGTGTTTTTATTAAGATGACTTGTTGCAAACGGTGGAGACAACCTCCACATTGAATGTAAACAAACATCTTTCTGTAAATGATATTCTAAATGGATAAAAATAGCTAGATATCACGAAAGTTTTTACATGTTGTAACGATTATCAAATGCTAATATGGTAAAATGGATCTAGGTTAGGTTAGGTTTGTTTGTATGTTGTTTTAACGTCTCTCTCGAAAATTTTTCACTCATATGGAGACGCCACCACTTGCCGGTGGAGAGCTGCAAATTTTGTCCTATACTCGGCAGTGAGGAATCTTTTTCGTGCCAGCACCTACTGCGACACGGGACCTCGGTTTATACGGTCTCATCCGAAGGACCGGTCTCCACGTCCCACAGTGGGATTCGAACCTGCGACGTAAGGTTCAACTCCTTACTTCGCGACTCTTGAGCAGACGCTCTAACCACTGCGCCACGCGGGCGACGATTTAGGTTAGGTATAAACCGAAATTTCTCTGGTATAAGGTACAGGTCAACATATATATTTCATAACATTATCCCCTTCTTTCAGAACATTTGTACTCAAATGAAAGAAGAACAAGATGGTGACAGGAGGAAATAAACTTTATGTTTTGGTGGGTAAAACAACTTGAATTTGGAATACAACAAGATGTGTTTGTGAAACACTGATGCCCCCGTATGGCAATTATCAAAGGTTAAACTTTCTCAAATGCAAATCAAATATGTTGGTACCCAAAGTAAGGTCTTGTCTCGAGGAATATACCTGTGAAATATGAAAACCGTAACAGCAACCATTGAATAGATATGGAAAAGGTTTAAGTTTTTCAAAATTAAAATAAATCAAATATCAAGGTCAAGTTCAAATGGTCAAAATTAATGGTGCCCAAGGAAAGGTCTTCTAACAAGAAATACACATGTGAAATATGAAAGCCCTAACACCAACCGTTCAGAAGTTATGGCCAAGGTAAGTTTTTCAAAAGTAGGTCAAATGCCGAGGTCAAAGGGTCAAAGTTGTTGGTATCCAAAGTAAGGTCTTGTTACAAGGATTACATACGTAAGGTATGAAAAGCCCAAGCACCAATTATTCAAAAGTAATGGCCAAGGTTAAAGTTTTCCAAAAGTAAGTCAAACTCCAAGGTCAAAGTTGTTGGTATCCAAATGAAGGTCTTGTCACAACAATTACATATGTGAAGTATGAAAGCCCTAGCACCAACCGTTCAAAAGTTATGGCCAAGGTTAATGTTTTTAAAAAGTAGGTCAAACTCCAAGGTCAAGGTCAAACTGTCAAATTTTTGTGGTATCCAGAGGAAGGTCTTGTCACAAGGATTACACATGTGAAGTATAAAAGCCCTAACACAAACTGTTCAAAAGTTATGGCCAAGGTTAACTTTTTTTCAAAAGTAGGTCAAACTCCACTGTCAAGGTCAAAGTTGTTGGTATCCTAAGAAAGGCCTTGTCACAAAGTATACACATGTGAAGTTTGAAAGCCCTAGCACCAACTATTCAAAAGTTACGGCCAAGGTTAAAGTCTGAAACATTTTTGCAAAAGTGGGTCAAACTCCAAGGTCAAGGTCAAATTTTATGGTACCCAAGGAAGGTCCTGTCACAAGGAATACATATGTGAAATATGAAAGCCATAGCTCAAACCAATCAAAAGTAATGGGCAAGGTTAAAGTTTTTGCGGACAGACAGACAGACAGACGGACGGACGGACGGACAGGGCAAAAACTATAACTATATGCCCCCGAATCTTCGATTACCGGGACATGAAAACAAATGCATGATAGCCCAGGCATGGCAATACTACATGTATCACATGGTTATGGAGTATCAGTATCTTCAACTGGCACAATGGAAGGTATGGCAATATATCACAAAGGAAAATATTCAAACAATATAACAAAGGTATGCAACATCCATGTTCATACTCATCCAGTTATACTGGAAAATAAATGATGAAGAATATGGGTAATCCAGCATCCAACAATAATAAACACGTATAAAACAACAATAACAATAATTCTGCGTTCAACAATAAATACAAGGAATTGGTATAGAAATATAGGATCCTCAGGTAAAACAAAACAAAGGTAAGGTATATATCACATCACTATAAAAATGGCATTTCACTTGATACACACTTCAATATCACAACATAATATCACAGGTCAATATCACAGCATAGTATCACAAGTCAATATCACAGACACATAAAAGTTGATGTAGAAATGTTACTGATTTCCTAGGATCTCAAATGTTTTTCTTTTCATCAGAACCTCATGGTGTTGAAGGAAGAGTTCTGTATTCTTCTGTAGTGAGTGAATGAGGACGAGGTCCTTTGTAATTACATGTACATTCAATGGAAGCTCTGCAACATTCCTCAAATAACTAAGAATGTAATGAAATAATTTTGGGTCCCTGAAGTAGGAATAAATGTTATCGATGGAATACGGTTTCATACGTGAGGATGGCATGACTATATGGGATAGAAGTGATCTTGGATCTGCCTGGAGAGTGGGCACACTAGTTTCGAATTTTGTGCCTCCAACGTTGAGATAGATGCGCTGTTGTTGGGCAATCGCTAATCCTTTTAATCTAATCTGTTGTATAGGAGTGGTATTATAATCTGGAACTGAGACATTAGGTGCTTGAATGGTGTAAGTGGAAAGTTCTGGTAAATTTTCTTTTGGAGGAACGGATTCAAATTGTGAATTAGCTGCAAATATGGATAGAGCCTGTTCATTTAAAGAGGAATGGACAGAGCTAAATGAACTGGAGGACGGAAGAAGATGATGATGATGGTGATGCTGGAGTTGCTAGTGTTGGATGGTACACAGCCTTCTTGACTGTTAAGGTACTTGAAGTGGAAGTGACTGGCATGGAAACAGAAGTGGCTGTCACAGATTTTGTGGCTCAGTTTGAGGCATACGCAGCACAGTTAAGGCTTCAAAAAAGAGGCGGGGTCTAATTTTTACGGGAAATATTAACTATGACAACATGAAACTAACAATCCTTAAAAATACCACAAAATGAAGTGGTTTGCAATTTTAAACTGTAGGGGATAATTAAACTACATCAAAA